ACTCGAGTCTAGTGATTCCGAGCGTATGATTGAATCGATGAACTAACGATTGTGCGTGAACGTGAAGTCCGAAAGATAGTCAGCTCAAATCAATAAAAAAGACAATTATCCCACACCACTACTCACAAGTAATTGTGGGTCAAATGTGATCCCTAAGGTTTCCAGATTAAGTGGCTGACGAGGCTTTAGAATCTACAGTTCGTTTCGTGATACATTACTTACATTGTTATTTGGCAACGACCTTTGGTGAGCGACATCCAAATTGTTTGGGAGACTGTTACAGGTCGGAAGAAATGGAAAATGAAGAGGGCCGGGTACTGAAGACAAAGATTTAAACAAAGGTAGCGTTTACCCCGTCTGCTGTTCAAAAACGCCCTCAAGCACCAGCTTCCCGGCCACAGCCTAAAACTGTGGTGCAGAAATGTGTGCAGTGTTGGAAACAAACGGGGCGAGTTGGTGATATGGAGCTAGGATTGCGATATTGTAATCAGAACATGGTTATCAAAAATCACATCCATAGAACGGCAAGCCCCTCCCAATCTCACCCACTAATGACCTGATAGGGAAGGTGGATGAGGTGTTGGCATTTTACTGCTCGTTCGGCGGCAGTATATCCAGTGGGAAATATCTGAGCTCACACTCTGTGCAACAACAGTGCAAGCCACAGGCTGCATCGTAAGAAAACGAGGCCGACGCTTCGGCATATGGCCGTCTACCGAGCACCAGATTCTGATGCGGATGATGATTGGGCACTAATAGACCTCATTGCCACAGTCGGTAGGGGAAATCACTTGCCTATTATGGTGAGGGATTTCAATCTCCCCGAAATAGAATGGCAATAGGAGAACAAGGGAGAAGGTCAAGCAGCACATGAATTCATGAGCTACTTCCACACGGCAGCGCTCTACCAACATGTGCAGGAACCAACGCGTATCCGATAGGGAATAAACCGTCTATCTTAAATCTGTTCTTCGCACGGCAGGAGGATGAGATCGGCGACCTAAGACACGAGGTTCCTCTCGGTAAAAGCGATCACAATGTACTTTTGCTAAAAGCGTGCATTGTAAATGAAAACTCACCCCGTGGGTGGTGCCGCAATTTCGGGCGAACGAATGTGAAGAACTTGGGGCGCGATGTCCAGGCTACGGTATGGTTCCCGCACAGAACGGACCCGTCCGTTGATCAACGGTGGGAAATAATCCGGGACCAGCTATTAGAGCTGGCGGAGAGGCATGCCCCTTGCACCCTAAGGGCAATATACACAAACGACGGAGGTGGAAACCTGCCATCAAACGCGCCATAGGGGAATGAGGTTCGTAGGTAGAAAGCATTCGTGCTGCCTTACAGTTCGCAATTGGTTGTGCAAAGGCTAGAGGTGCATCCTTAAAATAAGAAACGCCGAGTGACGCTGGGGACGTCTCTCGTACGAAACTCTCAAGTAACTTCATGATCATGACCATGGAGCCCGCTTGTCCTTTCCAAGGAGCCAGCCGTAGTAAAGCACGCATTCGTGCTCACAGGAGGGCATGATAGATTGTTAGTATACAAGAAGGCGCGAGACTATGTATACAAGCTATTACAGCAGGCTAAAATGACCTTCGAGGTTAAAATCGCCAAGAGAGAGAGAGAGCGCCTCGAATCCAAGAGGTACTACAACTAATTATATAATAAAATAATATAAATGTATTTTTACCTCTTTATTTATTGAATATACAAATGTACAATCAACTTTCAGGAGGGGTGCTGCGGTCATACAAAGGCTGCCTGGGGAAATACAGAAATAGGGAATACGGGCGTTGGTGGAGCGGTTCGAACCCGGGACTCCCGGGTCAATTTTGTGACCTAACCACTTGACCACCACCGCCCAACTACATGCAGTAGAAGGTTGCGCTAAGGCAGTCGGTAGGTACTTTGGAGGAAGTGCTCCAATACTACCAAGTGTCTCAAATCCTGTGTACTAAGGAGAGGACGAGAAGGCAACATCCGGAGCTATTACTGGGTTGCTGAACCACTGGCAGTTCACCTAGCGACTTTGGCTAAAACTCTTCCAACCTGACCAAGAAGAGGCGTACGAAGCACACACTCCTTTGTTGTCGTCGTGGTCACCAGTTCGTTTGGGCATCGAGGTGTATTGGGCACCTTGGACGTTTGACCCCGTCCGAAGAGAGTATGATCCGAGCTAGACACCTGCCACTACTGGATTGCGTTTATCACACACCTTCCTACCGGTGACGGGAAATGAGGATGAGAGTTCACCTTGGGCCCTAACCTTCCCCGAGGTAGTGCTTTCAGAAGCAGGACATTCCTCTCGGGTACTCCGTTTCCCGGCTGACAGTTCCACTGGCACAGCGACTGATAGAGTCGCAGACCGTTCTGATGTCGTCTATAGATGAATGTGCCCTAGCAGCTGACCGAACTTGAAGATTTGATCTATGCAACCACGGCATGCATGAAAAAGAGTATATTATTCGCCGATTTGTCTTTCGCGAAACGGGCTTAGTCTGCATAACAAACCGGACACTAGCAGCTTTGGCGCCATTGGAAGCAGACTTATGCTTCTATAATTGGAACAGACATTGTGATAGCTCTTGCAGATGAGCGAAACAGTCGATTCTTTCCACGTATTCTGCGCGGTTTCGTTCTCCCAGATCTTCGAGAACAGTCTTGTAACCATTTTCACGAGAACTTCACCATCTTTAAAGAGGACCATGGGATGTGAGCTGGGCACTTGCCCCTAGTGGATTGTGATCTTCAAACACCACCGTGCTACCGTACGGGTCATGTTTTGACTAGCCGAAGGCTCCGCTTGTAAATCCCCAGAGAAAATTTAACTCCTTTGGCTTGGGTCACTTGGTAGTGTTCTTCTTTCTAGCAAGTCATGGACCGTTTTCCTTGTTGAAAAGGTTATTGCACCTTGTTTTGTTAGGCACATAGTCTGAACTCAAACGCACGTAAATTATAAATAAATAGGGTGGTGGTGACAGTGGTTTAGGCACTGTTGCCGGCGTGCTTTGGGCCATGTGGTCCGGGGTTCAAGCCCCGTCACCGCCGCCCGACTTTGGCAGTTGGCAGCTTTGCTGTAATCCGGTTCAATACCACGCCCAGCCTATCGAAACCTTATGCGGTTCGCCACTCAAAGTCCCAGGGTTCAGGTTGCCGGTTCCCATCACTGAACAGCAGGTTTTCGTGACTCTAGGGTTTCCACACCGTCTGTTCATCACACTAAGGCATGTAAAAAATAAATGAATAAATGTGAATAAATATCGAGTGGATGACGCCTAAATGTTCCATATTTTTCTTATCCTGACAATATTGTGCTCAAAAACATACTTTTTTCTGAATGATTTATCTGAGACGGAGTACAAACAGCTGTATATTACATGTATACTGAATATTGGCGTTTTGAATTTGATTACAAATGGTTTACTGGTGTTACTGTTTTGTGTTCACTGTGTGGTGTGTTTTAATAGTGTTTGATGGATCTCTATATTTATTTCAGATGCCTGGCTATAAACGCACACACTTAGCATGTCTAAATCGTTTACAGCATGCAAATAATAAACGACATAAAACAACAGCCGAACATCCGCAATCAAATCAACGTACTTTGGACAGTGCGGTCGACATACGTGATGCGCTTGTAACAATCGAATCCCAAGTGGACACGCTGCTGAGAAGTTCGACTTGCACTTCTTATAACGAACGGAAAGTTGATGAAATAAATAAAAAAATCGACCACTGTAAACGCAGTTCCATCGCATTACGGAAAAAGCTCAACACGCTGAATCACACCATACCCCAACCTGTTTGTGCTGTGAGCAACCCTTATTCTGTAGATGACATTGCTGTTACACAGAATTCACTTAGTGACCCTAACGCGTTGTCAGTTTTGCCTCTCCTTTCACGGTCTCCCGACTCCATTTCTCACGTCACATGTTTGGTTCCCTATGATCATTCCGAGAGTGAGGAATCTGACCCATGCGCTCCAGTGAATTCAAAAATTTGATACTTTTTTTACTACTACACTCTGTGAAATGATTTCTTATCTTTGATCGCGATTGTATCCCATTGCAGATTTTCCTAATCGGTTTCCTGGTACTCTTAATTGCATTTGTTTTCATTTGGAGCCGCTTTCGAAATCGCCATACACCTCATCTAGATGAATATAATGTTTTTATCACTGGTGGCTCCAGTGGCATTGGTTTGGCTCTGGCACATCTATTCTACAATGCCGGAGCCTCTGTCACCCTGATCGCCCGGGATATACCGCGCCTGAGAGAGGCTAAAGATTCTTTACTTGTCAATACTGGTGATGCAAATCGAGTTCATATATTACCGTTAGATTTGGGTGCGACATATTCCAGGATAGAACAAGAGTTGACCGCTCACTTGTCCCGTGTCGGTGAGTTCCGGTTATCCCTTTCATCCCATGTTTTTATTTGAAAGATCAAAGTCGGATTCTTGCTCATAATATTATCTTTGTACCTATTCAGTTTCAGTTTTAATTAACCGTGCCCTTCGTTCACCGCTTTTGGTTGCTGTCTTTTGGTGCCCCATTTAGATACAAGAGAAGAACGAAGACTGTAATGTTGAAAGCGAATTCAAGCGGAAGATGTAGAATTCATATAGAGTGGTGTTAGGAGGATAATGAGTAGATGCACAAGCGCCACTGTTTGCGACACCCAGTCATATCACACAGTGTCTCTAACCATCGGTGACCATCATTTCGGGGTCCCCATCCAGGGAGCCTAACGGGACCTATGTGAGCCAGTCTTCTGAATTCGGTTTGCATACCCTCGTGCCAGGTCTTAGCTTGACCACCCTTGGCTTTTTTCCA